GCCGGTGAGGATGGGTTCCACGGAGGAGAAGGGGTGAGTGTAGGCTGTGTGAGAGGAGTGCACATAACCTCTGTATCTGTTTAACCTCACAGAGATGTGTTTTGTTTGGGCAGGAATTCACCAAAAATTCAATTTCTTTTTTTTTTTTTATCTCAGCCGTTGGATGTGCAACGGCTGATCTCAGCCGTTGCAAGGACGCTCGCAAGTTTGGCTTTGCAAGGAGAGGATCTGCACTCATCAAAACTCACCATTATCATCAATATCATTATTTTTTATTATTTTGAAACCCTAAACCCTAGAAGAAAGTTTGAACAAAATCAAACAATAGATGAAAGTAATAATCAAAATAATTTTTTAAAACAATCCATCAAAGAGGAGGTGAGTATTCATATAAAGGAGTTTCACAAAAGCACCATAAATTGTTTTCTATATTTTTGATAAAAATTAAAGGGCCAAATAGTTAGATTAATAACAACATATTATTGGAGTTGTTCTTATTTTATCATTTAAATAGTGTATTAAAATGAGAACTACTATTTCTTGTTAGTACGAGAAGTTTGTCGATGATATCTCTGATTATGAAGTCTGCCTTTACACTACAACAAAAGACAGTTTTGCCAGCCAAAGGTCAAATTTTGGTCGCCACCTTTGTCGTTGAAAGATTGTCGGGGAAAGTAATTGGCGACTAAAAAAACAATATTTGCTAAAATCACACAATTGGCGACTAAACTATTAGTTGCCAAAAGTGTTTCAATTAAATTTAACATGACATTTTCATTGACTAATATTTTTGTCGCCAAAACCTACACTGTTTAGCTACTAAAATTTTAGTCACATAAGGTCTAACATTTTTTGTTTGGCTACTTATAGTTTAGTCGGCAAAAGAATTTTACAACGACTAATATTTTGTCGCCAAAGCTTAAATTGCTTAGCTACTAATACTTTCGTCGCCTAAGGTCTAATTTTTTTATTTTGGCGACTAAATGTTTGGTCGCCAAAAGTGTTTTTCCTCCTCTTTTTTTTTTTTTTAGGTACTAAATTATTAGTCGCCTAAAGTCTTATTTGTTATAGCTACTAAATATTTAGTCGCCAAAAGATTTGTTTTCGTTTAATTCTTTTTGTAGCTACCAACTATTTATTTGGTAAAAATATTGACTTTATTTTTTGCTACCAATTTTTAGTCGCCAAAACATCATTTTATGTTTTTTTTGATTAATTTGTCCAAACCCACAACCTTTATATATTCCATGCAACATGTACGACATATACAAACTGATTTATACATATATTATCACCCATTTAACAATCCACATCCATTTCACTTCAAACCATCTAAAAATTAATAACTTCAAATGCCAAATTCTATACAAATCAAATACATTCCAATTTAAAACAATAATTCCATACATAACATGAATGATCATAGGGAAATTTCATCCTCTGTATAGAAAAATATATTTACTACTATGGCATGATACAAATTTGTACTATGACAAAAGGTAATCAATAGATCACGACATCAATTATCTGTTCAAAGGCAAGAGCATTATGTATCCTGCCAAAGGTATTCTGTTCAATTAATACAAATCTGCACAAAAAGCAAAGGACGACAAAAATGCAAGAGTTTACAAAAGTGTAAATTATCATATGTCTACAAAAATGAAATATCCATAACTCCATACCAAAAGCCATCTACAAATATATATATATATATATATATATATGCATATGTACACCCATTAATTCCATACATAGCATTTCAGCATAATGTCACACCCCTTGTAATCGTAATAGAACTTTATCCTAACATTCGTAATTTGATATTGGTTTAACAATTTATTGCCTCATTACTTTTCCTCCAGCAAGGCTAGAGTAGCTTATGTTTTCTTCCATCGCCAAAACATCATTTGACGTTCACTGTTTAGCAGGGTTGATAAAGGTATGTATGCAAGTGGTTATTTGCTTAAAGGTTGTCCAGTTTGGAGAACTACCAAGTCATTACAAGATAAATTAATAGTCATAATCTAAACATAATAAAGTTGGGTATTAAATGTATAGTTTATTTTATTATTACTTTGTTTAGTGGGCCAGGGATGGGTTATTTGAAAAATTAGTTCTTCATTACACTCTCTCCTTGAACTTTTAACTGCTAATACTTGAAGCTTTTAATTTTTTTATTTTTTTAAGAAAAATACACTCTTTGAATCACAGATGAGGGGAATCGAGACTACTAGAGTAAAGATGATAAGTTTCTTTATTATGAAGGGTTATATATATGATGAGTTCTGAAAAGAGATCATAACCCTCAACCTGATGGATCAATAGCAAACAAATTCAATACAAATATATAATGAGTTTATGGTTTCGGTTACTTATCCTTTGATGTGCAATGATGTGCTCATGTAAAGGGTCTAACTTCTGATGGATTCCAATTTTCTTCGATTTACAATGATGATTAGTTTATACATCACTAGGCGTAAGAATTACTGCATTTGGTGAGTTGGGAACCTACAAGCTGTTGGTATTCGTAGAAGAGTTGAGTGGAATGTGATTGATTCAAATGGATCACACAACCTAAAGTTATTGTGTCTACCATATCAGTGTGTAATTAAGTAACAGCATGTGTGATAAGGACATATCAAGGTACTGGATGACAACAAACGCCTTTTTCGACTAAGTTTAAGGCATTTTTTACCTACGTATGCTAATTACATGTTGTCTATCCCCACATATCCTATCTGTCATGACGCACGTGCCTGTGACATCTATAGGGTGGTTTGAGGGCTGTTTCGAATTTTCGCCCTCCAAATGGCCTTTTTCGACTAAGTTTAAAGTGTTTTCGAATCTTACTCCCAATATACGTGTGCTAATTGCATGTTGTTTGTCCCCAGAGGTCCGATTTATCACGAGGAAGTTGCTTGTGACGTCCACAGAGTGGTTTGGGGGCAGTTTTACATTTTTGCCCCTCCAAACGCCTTTTTTCGACTAATTTTAAGGCATTTCTTACTCTAACTCCTAACTTACGTGTTCTAATTACATCATGTCTATCCCCATAGGTCCTATTTGACACAGCCTCCTCACTACTAAAAAGCAAACCTTTTGCGACAGTCTCAAATGTTGCAAAAGGTTCACATACTGTCACAAAAAACTTTCTGCGATGGAGTAGTGAAGGGAAATGGGGGGTGGCAGAAGGGAGCGTGACAAAAAGTATTTGTGACTGTTATAAACCGTCGCTTTCTTGTTACGACAGCTAATCAATGGTTTTTGCGACGGTTTAACCTGACACAAAAAAATGAAAAAAAAAACTTCACTTTTAGTGACATTGGTTGTCGTTGCCAAAACTTTTTTAGCAACGGTATTTGACATCGCAAAAAAAAAAAATTAATAATGTATTTACGACAATTTAAACCATCGCTAAAAATTTGAACTAATATGCATATGTGACAGGTTAATCCGTCGCTAATAAAATGTAAGGAAATGATGATTACATTAGCAACAGTTTATTATTGTCGTGATAAAATTATTTTCATCAAATCAATATATATTTTATTAATTCATTCCCTGTACAAATTATTAATATTTTCTAAAATAAAATACATCTACATCCACATCCACATCCACATCCACATCCACATCCACATCCACATCCACATCCACATCCACATCCACATCCACATCCACATCCACATCCACATCCACATCCACATCCACATCCACATCCACATCCACATCCACATCCACATCCACATCCACATCCACATCCACATCCACATCCACATCCACATCCACTCCATCTTTTGATATAGGTATGAAATTATGAAAATTCAAAATTTAATATAATGGATTTGCATTTCTTTTTTAGTGTCTTTGGTTGCTATCATAATTTTGAGATGGCAAATCAAAATTCTAGTTGATTTGCAGTTTTTGCTCCTTTGAATATTCCCATCGGTAGATGCTGGATGTGAAATTGATTTTCTTTCAAAAGTAATTTTTATTTATTAATACTAGCAGGGCACGTGTGCTGCACAAGAGTTGAAAAAATATATTTATTAAATTAATGTAAGTGTAAATAAAATGTACAAAATACTTTTTTTTTATTAAGTTTAATAGCTAAAATATTACTTGTCCGTTAGTTTTACTTAACAAGAATATGTAACCGATTTAGACTGAAAATAAACTACTATAAAAGATTAAGATTTAAATTAATAAAATTAAAATTTTAGTATTTATTTTTTTACAAGAGTCAAGCCTTGAAAATTTTCTTTTATAATTTTTCCAAAATGTTTTGTAGGACACTATATTTTCCATAACGCACTGATTGTAATCTTTTTGCATTAGATTTTCATATTTAATCACTTTGTTCTATTTTCATATTAAATTTTTCAAAATGTTCTATTTCATCAGATTTTCATATTAAATCACTTTGTTCTATTTATAGCATTATATTTATATGATTTGTTATCACCATTGATCTAAAATTGAAATAGTTCATAGACAGGTAATTTTTAAAAGTGAAATTATTTTTAGTGATTGGCCTATTCAGAACAAAAAAGGGTTTTTACGGCGAGTAATGCACATTGTAAAAACCCTTCTACGACGTGCAACGCACGTCATATTATGACCAATCATGGAAAGTCATTTACTTTCAACGACATGCTTCGTACGCCTTTAGAAACTATTTAACGGTAGATTTTGTGCGCCATTGTTGCTTTTTCTACGACATGCTATAATACGCCGTTAAAAACTATTTAACAGCATATTTTGTGTGTCGTTGTTATGTTTTCTACTACTACTTTTGCACGCCGTTAATTGGTGAGACCAATATCGACGCTAATTGCGCGCCGTAAAATATGTAATAATACGACTTATTATGCCAGCCGTAGAAAATACAGTTTTTTATTTTTTATTTTTAAATTCAGCAGGTTCTATTTGACCAATTTTGTACAATCTAACAAATATTACAAACAAGCATCACAAAACATCAATCAACCACCAAAATATTGTTTGAAACATCAAAAAGAAACTATATCTATAAATTATAAACATTCAATAATTGTCTATGCATTCCAAACATTTGAAAACTATATCCTTAAGTTCTAAACTGTACAAAAAGTTTAAACCATCCAAAACTATGCATATCAAACTTTCTAAACATATCGACAACTATTAAGAGATTATCTAAAACTATCGACAACAGTTCCTATAACAGTTGTTGCTGCAGCTGTAACAAATCCACTTGCTCCTATCACAGGGAAGAGGGTGCCCAATGTATGTGTTAAGGCACCTAAACCTGCGACAATAGCTGGAGCAATTAACCCTGTTGCATTTCTTGTCTGCATGACAAAGGAAACTTTACATAAGTACAAAAACCAACGACTCATGGACAAAAATATTTCTTGTGGTATTAAGAAATGATCAAGAAATTTTAAAACATCAACAAAACATTTCCAAAACTAATAGGATAATTCAATGGCCCCATAAAAGCAATGTCATAATGAAAAATTAGCAAAAATTCAAGATCTCAATAGTCTTAACGTATATGCAAATAAAATCCACATAAAGCAAAACTACTAAAAATAAACTCTAAACCACTAAATCCACATGAATAAACCCTATTTTTACATTTATAGTTGTAGAATGTTTTTGCATGGTTATTTGTTTTTTGGTAGTAAGTACTAAACTACTAAAAATAGGGTTTATTCGTGTGCATATTGATAAAAGGCATTAAGCCACCTGGTTTTAATTGTGATACAATTATTATCTAGCCTCAAGGTAAATTACACACCCCTCTTCTCTTCTCCAATCCTGCTTACTCTTCTTAATCTACCTCCTAGCATGTTCTGTGTATGTATGAAATGTTGGTATGCTTGGAAATGGGGTGTAAGTTTAGGTGTTAGTATGAATAAGTGATGCTACCTTGTATTTTCTACTGATTTCATGACTGCTGCAACTTTATCACTCTTGGAAAAATATCAAACTTACTTCTTTTCAAAACTGATTGTAGGGGATGATTTTTGAGGTGTTTAGAGCATGTGACATTTTGGTAGCCCCTAATTAGACGTTTTTATGGTCTAAACAATTTTCTTAAACAATCTAGCCCCACGTTTCGAGAAAACAGTCCACTTCGACTTAAATACAAGTACAAAACTATACAAGTCAATTTGATTAGCATATTACTCTATACTTGTATTTGTGTTTGAACCATCAAGCAAATGATTACAATAATAGAAATGTTAGCAAGGAAAAAAAATGCTAAAAACCCATATGATGAAAGCCCACAAATGAAGCCATGAATACCTTAAAGCATCCTTCAGCAAATGTCTACTTATATTACATTCAAACATAAAAATATAGTTGATTGGTTCTAAGAGTAAATATCAATCTCTCACTATTAAGGGCACACAGTGTCAATAAGCTATGGTTTTTAGCTTTTGGGATAGTTCATCCCTATGTATTCCTTTTTTCCTGTCCACTGCAAACAAGAATTGTTTTCAAAGGTTTAGAAAAACCAACACCATAAAGAAGAAAGGATGTATCAAGCATATGAAGAGGAATCTACAGAGAATTTCCTATTAAGATGATCACATTAAAGCCAAACATTATTCTATTTAAAGGATGATGAGGACCACAATCATCTATTCTTTGAGTGCCCTTTTTCATTCAGAATCTGGTCCACCATGAAAGCTAAGTGTAATGTGACTTGGCCTAATATGAACTGGAACCAACTTGTGCATTGGTTAGCTTCCTAGCTTACTAGCTCCTCACTGTTTGTCACTATTTGTAAACTGGTCTTCACTTGTTCTATATACTGTATCTGGCAGAAAAGAAATTGTAGGATCTTCCAAACTACAAAGTCAAATGAGGTGGCTATAATCAGTAGGATACAAGAATTAGTGAGGTGCAGAGTGATGTCAATCACTAACTTCAAGGTTGATTTAACAAATAAGTGGTTCTTGAAGGAATGGTCTCTACCTGACTCCGTGCTTAAATCTAGTAACTTTTAATAACCTGCAGGTACATGGCTAGTACTTTCTTAGGGAGGTGGGTTGAGTGTTGTGAGCCCTACACTAGCATATTGAGTGAGTGATGTGAGATTTGTGGGTTGAGTGGGGTGAGCCTCTAATTTTTTTAACTAATGCTCTCAGTGCAGGTTTATTTTTTGCGGGTTGCTATCTGATCTGTAGGGATGTGAGTTAAGTATAGTAAGATTCTAAATAGGCATGAGTGAGTGTGGTGAGCTTTGAAGGTTGAGTGATGTAGCCCTCTGTGGGTTGAGTGTTGTGAGAAACACATTTGTCTGTTTACTAATGTACTTGTTTCAGCTCTGAGTTTGAGTGTGTTTGAGGGTTGAGTGCTTGCAGCCCTTTTGAGAGTTTTGTGTGCATGCATTTTCTGAACTGTATTATCTTAGCTTATGTTGATTCCTTGTGTTTCCAGGCTCCTTTAGCTGAGTTCTGGTTCTTGGCACCCACTGCTTTGAGGATGATCCATCCAGATTAATCAAATATTGCTGACTTTCTATAGTGCTCTGTTACCCTCTTTGTTTGGCTCTCCGTTGTCCCTCCTGTTGCAAGTGTTAGCAGACAGTTCTTTTTGGGTCTTGTTTATCCGAATCTGTTCTATTGAGGATTACTTTGATCACCTCCCAATTGGGATGTAATTGGGATATTTTGATATATGTGACCTGAAATATTATTGGAAATGTTCTTTGAAGTATGTTGTGGTTTGTAAAGGCAGACTGGTGTTCATGGTTCACAAGTTATGGAAGTTTTTGTTTTTGTTCATGTCCCTCATCCTTCTGGATGGGGCTTATGATACATTCACAGTCTAGCTCCATTTGTTTTGTCTAGCAATTTGTTTCTAGATTGGGATTGATAGTCTTTTGGTTGTATAATGTTGTTAGGGCCTAGGGTATTCCCCTTGTAAATATGTAAATTTGCTTGTTTTATTTTATGACTCATTCACCACCCAAAAAAAAAAAAAAAAGATTATCAACAAAAAATATATATATTAACTATGATATTAAATTTTAATATGATAAATGCTTGGAGCACTAGAAGATCACTTACCCATTCCTATCAACAGTGTTTCCTCCTCCATATCAGAACTGTTCTGCCACTCCCATCTTCAAACTATGATAAGTACAACAAAGCATGTCAAGAGATTACTTGATATGAACACAAAAAAAGTCAATTCAACGACCAAAGGGGAGAATTTTGCAATTAACAGATAAACTATACTTCCCAAACAATGTTGGATGCAACTGCAAGAGTAAACTAAGTACTAATTACCAAGAATAATGAGTGCCTTTTATGAGTGGAAGTGTTTGTCATTAATTAATAAAGAAACATTTGTCAAGTAGCATAAAGGAACTTTTTTGTCTATAAGAAAATTTTCTGTGCTTTCAGACAAGCATTTGATTAATAAAAAAATTTTCCAAATTTCATCCATTCAATATATATACTCATTTAATATCTATAACCAACTTTCTTTCGAATAGAGAGAAATTATAATTTATATTTACCCTATTACACTACCGAAGAAACCTATTCAATGTACAACTTCTCAACTTCTCAACAATATCAATACCTCCAATTTTTTTTTAACAAATACCTCAAGTTAATATCATTTTCAAAGTTTTGAAATCAAAAAGAAACCTAATCTGAGCATGCACTACTTGCATATATCCAATTATTAGTCATAAAAAATAATTAAATAGAATCTCACACACACTACCTCTCCACCCTTACTTCTTCTAACTTCTTTGGCCATTTATCATTTATTAAAGTTGCTTGTGACAGATAACATTGCTTCTTAAAAAAAAAATTAAAAAGAAAAAGAAAAAGAGAGAGGCAGACAATAAAAGGAATTACAATTGTTCTTGAATGCATAACAAGCATTGGATGCCAATGATGTTGACATAGAGACTACAAACCACAGAGCTAAATTAATGTTTAATGATTTATATATAGTGGTTATGCATCTTTTTAAATTATTATTGGACAATGGCAATTGGCAGGTGCAATTCACATTTCAATCCAAAAAAATGACAAAAAGCTAATTGAACGTGAATCAAATATTTTTCCCTAGAAAAAAAAAAAAAAGGTCGCCAATGAATTTAAATATAAAAATCCAAAAACATCATACAAGAGTGAGAACAGAATTTGATAGAAGATACTAACACTTGAATATGATCGAATATACAAACGCAAAGACTGACAAAAAAAATAAACAAGATAAATGAGACAGCTATGAAACGTCCCAGGATTATCCAGCCAGCTCATGAATTACTTTCATTGTGGCAAGTCAATACCAAAATTAGCAGCCAGAAGGATTTTTGAAAGCGAACTAAGAGGAACTTCACTACTAAAAGTTAAGGACTTACTCATCAGATGGGCCAAGCTCTAATTGACCCAAAAAAAAACATTGTGTTGGTTAAAATCATAGTGTGTGGGTGATTTTCTGACCACACTGCCCGCTTAGTAACCAGTTGGAGAGCACCGGCAGAATAGATGGCACCCGGCTGACCTGCAACAGAAAGAGAAGATTCCGGCGGTGGTTCGTCCACCCGGGGGCACTCCGACGATCAAGTTAGTATATCTCTCAAAGATAAATCAAGTGCTAAACTCACAAGCTTGAGTATCAAAAGCATACCTTAGACCCATGGGGGTGCCTCTCTTTTATAGCCAACATAAACCTAGTCCCAATAGAAGCCTAACTTCTATGGACTCAGGATTACTACTAATCTTGGACTCCCAGTAAAGATAGGATAATTCTCTAAGAGTCTTATCTTAATACAAACTGAAGTCTTCTCTCATTCTAGGACTCTTGTCCCTCACATCCAGGTTTGAGTTCCCTTATCATTCTAGACATCTTGTCCCTTATCCACTTATCTCGGTCCGATATCTTCAGAAGATAACCTCGGCTTTGCCGAGATCACCTCGGTGTCATGATCCAGCGACACGTGCACCTCGGCTACACATCGCGTCACCTTCCACGGTGTTGGACTCAGAAAATATATCACCCACAACTGCCCCCTAGGTTCTCATTACCCGGCATTCTGAGGTGATGGAACCTACACTGTTCGTTCATCTGTGCCCCTCTGTCCGAGATCAAACTCGTCGACCTCAAACTTTCCTGGACTTTACTGTCCACTTTTGTCAAGTATCAAGATTCATGCCTTCCAAGCTGCTTGAAATCGCACCTCCTAGCTGAGGTTCTGGTTTCATTAATTCGTAAACTCCAAGAGCTTTGCAACTACTCCACTCACACTCTCTGGTGAGTTCTCGATTTCCAGTCATCTATTTGACTCCGGCGATTTTCATATCGGCGTTCATTTCACTTTGTAGGTTCATAAACTCTTTACTTGCTATTAAGCTCAATCTTTCATAACTCTTCTGAATCTGTTTACTTGCCATCTGTTGCTTTCTATTTTTGTCTGTCTTCAAGTTTTGAATTGTTTGAATGCCTGGCATTGTTTTTGTCATATCCGCTTTCTGTTGCTAGCATCGTGTCTGGGTCATTACTTTCTTGTTCTTCACATTCTTACTTAGTGCCTGTGCACTTGGCTTTATTCTTGAACTTTGTCGTCTTCTTGACTATTTTTCTCTTTTTTCATTCAATCCTCTGGCTTTTTCTCTTTCTAGCTCTTTTGCTTAAATCCGTCATTGTTCCAAGCTTTCAAGCTTCTGCAACTGTCTTCGTTCCTCTCCTCCGATGAAGCTTACGTCATTCTATCATTGTCGTCAGACTTCGGCAATTCTCATTCCGGCTTCCCTCTTTTGGTAAACCACTGTTCCTCCTGGTTTTATTTCTTGTTGCTTTCCAAGAAGCTCCGCTTCATTGTTAATCACCATTGCTGTTTTACCCGTTGTTTCCAAATCATCTTCTTGAATACGCATTGTTCACACATCTGTTGATTTCTGCCACTGTTCTTGGCTTGACACACTTGTGCAATCTTTTTGTCTTGATTTCCTGATAGCTTCATCACCATTATTGATTACGAATTGTTTCTATTTTCTGTGTCTTTTTCCAGATTCTTGCTTTTAATCCTTGCCTTCAAACTCCGAGGTGCCAATCGCCGAGAAGAGCTTTGATCAAACTCTTAGGGAGATCGATGCTGAGCTCGAGGCCGAGAAGGCTACTGAGAAGTCTTCCCAACTGTCTTCTATATCCTGCCATTGATGCCGAGTAGTTTTGTTTCCTTCTTTTACTCCTTGTACCTTGTACCTTGTACTTTGTCCTTCTTTGTATGCTTTTAATCCGGCTGACGTGCCATTTTTGTAGTCTGAATAATTTATTTTTCAATATTCAGGCCGAAGTGCCTTCTTTCTTCTTTAAATGCATTTCTCTAATTTTTTCTTTGAATGAATGTCTTCTTTTTTCTGCTCTTGTATAATTCTACACTTAGAATAATTTGCATGTCTTCAAAGTACACCTTGACTGTGCAATCTCTTCAGGTGAAATACCTCTGTCACAACTTCTAATCTTGCTCATCTCGGCCTTGTCCTAACACTTGAAAATATTGTAACAAATATTTTCACTAGTGTTGCTTAGGACTTGTCACTTTCTCAATGTCTTCTATCAAGACTTCAGTTTTTCATGTTTCAAGTTTTGACAACCTCGTAGTCTCGGCAAGTACGCAGATATTGTTTGAGCTTGACTTAAACTTGTAAATTTTTCTAAAAAATTTCAACAAGTGTTTTAACCATCAGCCTTTATCATAGCCCCGGCTTAACTTCAGCTTGTATATTTTTCTCAAAATTTCAACAAGTGTTAAACCATCTTCCTTTCGATATGACCTCAGTTTAACTATGACTTGTAAATTCACACAGAATTTTCAACAAGTGTTTAAATATCATATCGGTTTAACTTCAACTTGTAAATTCACACAGAATTTCAACAAGTGTTAAACATCATATCGGTTTAACCAACTTGTAAATTGCTAAAAATTTCAACAAGTGGTAAACATCATATAGGTTTAACCAACTTGTAAATTACTACAAATTTCAACAAGTGGTAAACATCATATCGGTTTAAACAACTTGTAAATTATCCACAAATTTCAACAAGTGTTAAACAATGATTTCGGTTTAACTTCAACTTGTAAATTGTCCACAAATTTCAACAAGTGTTAAACAATGATCTCGGTTTAACTTTGTTAGGTTTTATTCTTGGCAATCCCGTTTGACAAAACTCCTTTCAGTTGTATTTATTTTCGCACTTTTATTTCAGTGAGGCTATGAGTGTTTAGATGCGAATCCAACCCGAATTGTGCTTTTCAGAGAAGTTTGTGATGATAAAGCTTTCAAGATTGCCACTTCGCTGATTATGACGGGGATTGAGCTGCCCGGTCAGCTCGCGGGGGGCGAGGGGGCAGCGCCCCTTGGCGGGTCCAGGGCAACGCCCAAGTGGGGTCAAAGGCAGCGCCCTCGAAGCAAAAAGCCAAAATGCAGTCGAAATTGTTTGACCACTTGAGCAGTCATTTGTGTGCCTGAGCGAAGAAAATGATCATCTTGTATTTTTGCAGAACGCCTGAACTTCTAGGAAGAAACTTTTATTGCTCGAGTGGTGAAAGTTGCGCTCGAGCGGTCAGCTTATATGTTTTGCACCGCCTTAGTCACACCGCTTGAGCGATGAAATGTGCGCTCGAGCAGTCTGCATGATCCTGTTTTATGTAAAGTGCATTGTTCGCTGTTTTTAGGGTTTGTGCCGTCCATATTTTCAAAGTGGAAGAAAATACAAAGTGTTTTATATTAGTGGGTGCTTTATGAGTATTTTCTTGATGACTCAAGAGTGATCAATGGATCCATGAACTTTATATCAATATCATCAAAAGGTTTGTTTATTTTCTTTTATTCACAAAAAAGAGAGTTGTTCTTTGGTGGATTTCAGGGAACTTGGGCTTGAAGCTTTGGTGGATTCTGGATTGGCTCATCGCCGTGGATTTGACATCAGCATTGTAGATTCAACGTTGTACAAGACAATTTCGAGGTGAAGACGGTAGTGGAAGAGACACATTGGAATCGATTCCATTCAGGCGTGGATTTGCTAGGAAATTGAGAGTACAGTTGTGTATTTCATTTTTTGTCTTCTTAGTGGATTATTTTGTGACTTTGGCCTGTGAATTTTC